TGTGGCATTTGTATAGTAAAGCACTTAAATGAACAATAAAATAATAACTTATAATACACTATAAATTAAATTTTACCAAATTAAAACAATTCACAATTACCAACACTGAAGCAAATATATAAGCATTAATATTATTAAATATGGAGTGATGTACACAATATGTTTAACTCTTCTTCATATTACCAGAATATTTAATGAAAATCATATTATTTTAACGCTATTTGAATCAATTCAAGGAAATTAAGCATAAATGGCAACATTTTCATTATAAAAACTTCAACTGTTATGATGATTGTAATTTTGATCATGGTCATATGGCCTAACTGTGGGTTACATGTGTATTGTATTTAGAAAACAATACATTACTATTATAACAAACAATAGCTAATAATGCACTATATTTTCGCCTAAATATATAACAGTAATAATAATAATGCAAATTTTATTTATAAAAGTTGTTTTTTTGTCAAATTATAATACATATACAGAAAAGTGAATGCAATTTAAGTTTGAAGTTAATTACATAAAAGGAAGTCAATTCATAACTTTAATATCCTTTATGTTATATAAATGACACTCAAGTGAATGATTAATAATGCTTAATAACAATCAAAACAATATGTAATATAATAAATGGAAAAATAATTGAGATGCAAAAACAATTTTAAATAAATTAACTAGCTAAGAATATAGGTTTAAAAATATTTCATTTTAAATAAGTAATAGCAATCATTTAATTGGATAATTATTGAAGATATAATAGATAATTGGTTTATGTAAATGAGAATAAATTTAATAACAATTGACTAACAATTGTAAGATGAGATCCAAGCTTATAGTGACTATAAATGATGTATCAACAATTTTGACAATTTACTTTGAATATATTGATTGCAACTACTTTCCACTTTCTACTTATACTTTATCTCAAACTGTAAATCTATTCATTCAATTGTTGACAATTTTAGATTAGCAGAGAATATCTACAATTGCATCAATATTTGAGCTCATATTATAACAATATAAATACCAACGTATCGAATATATCAAACAATTTAACTAACTTAACATTTATATCGCAAAATGTATTATGAACATTTTGGATATTTTCAAAACAATATAAAACCAGAACCAATCAGAATGTGATATATAATGTAATATTAATATTTTCTATACAATTAATGTTCTATTAATACAACATTCTATTAATATATAACATTTCAATATTTTTGTCAAGTATTACAGTTTGTAATATTAGAAGAGAAAATGTAAGAATGGCTAAAAACATTAGAGATATGACAAACTTTTAAACATTGTAACACTACTTCTACTATTAATATAAGTCTTATAGTTAGACATAAAAACATAACAATTGATAAAAATAGTGAATTACTCAATACGTAATATTAATACAATTGTAAATTCAGTTTAAACAACATTCTATAATACAAGTAATTCACTATTTTTGTTGTTTTGATCAACTGTTGTCTAACTATATAACAATTTCTATACACTTTGAACATTATTTTGAGCTCATCAATAAATTGTCTCAACTCATTAAATAAGCAAATTATATAGATAAATATTAAATTAAAACGTTTATTTATATATAAAAGCATTATAATTAATACAATTATACTGAAAATTAGGTAATAAATAAAATGTAGACAAATTTTACACAGAATTTTAAGACAAAAGGCGATATTTATATTTGAATAAATAAAAGCACAAACCTATGGATGAATTGATGTAAAAGTTATAAATTGATTCTTTCATTAGAAATAAAACAAACTTTCAATGCTTTGATAGGAAATGTGTCGACAAATAGTTAGCAAATAGTGAAGTAATGTCGAGAATGCAGTGAAGAATGTGTTCATAACTTATCAAACACTGCAAACATTGCATATAATAATTGTTAGATTGAGAAAAAGGGTGTTAACTGTGTATATGTTTCATCAATCAAATAGTGAAGTAATGTCGAGAATGCAGTGAAGAATGTGTTCATAACTTATCAAACACTGCAAACATTGCATATAATAATTGTTAGATTGAGAAAAAGGGTGTTAACTGTGTATATGTTTCATCAAATCATTGAAAAAGCCTTCAATTAATTACTTCAACAAAAGTGTAATCAAATACTGTATGGTATATAACAATATAAACTCATTCATTATATTAGCCATGATTTATGAAATCAATTTCAAACAAGTGATACATTAATATTGATGCCAATTGAATCATGAATTGAGTTACCATATTTATTGTCAATTATTATATAATAAGTTAAATTAAACTTAATTGCAATTTAAAAAGATTTTTAAATATTTCAAAGATTTTGATCACTACTCATAAGCAGCACAAAACTTGTGGCCTTAGTTATAACACTAGGAATTAAACATAATATTTGTTTTAATTGTCTGTAATATTTAAATATCTGTTTAATTTACAATAACTTTAATATTCATTATTTGGTTATTAGTTTCTACAGTAATCTAATAGTATAGCAAATATTGATATAATATTAATAAAATAAACAAATAATTGAGGCTTACATTCAATCGATGGGATTGTGTTTGAGATTGAATTAACAAATAGTGAATAAAACACACATTTATAACATAATAAGCCTTAACTGTAAGGCCAGTGAAAAGCTAACTATTTTATAAACCCATTGTTTGACAGACTCTTCACTTTCACATCACTTTCTATATATTAAAGACACGGTTTGTATAAATTATAATTAATTTATTAAAACTCAGCTTAAAATCAATTATAAAGTATATTGTAAGTTTTTTTGTAAAAAAAATTTAAGTATTTGTTGTAATAAAATGTGAATAAAAATGAATGAATGTAAATATGAAAATTGACAAATCAATCAAATCATGTGTTGCTATAACACAAACATATTTGCTTTGGCACAACATCTACCAGCGATCAACACAAACACATTTAACATTACACTGTACAGCAAGTTCACCATCATGTTCCATCACCATGCTCAGCTAATATATCGATCATGGTATTTCCCACATCATGCACTTACATACATGTCTAAACAATGTGATTGATTTGTTAAACATTGCGAATATTTTCGTCATGTATTTATTGAGGCTATTAATAGATTCATTAAGTTATATAAATAATTAGAATATTTTTATCCCAATTATATCTCAGGCTTAATCAAAACTTATAAATTATAAGAAAATGCATATAAATAAGTTGAAAATTGTGAATTAGAATTATTGACCATGATAATCAATCGGGGTAATAATGGTCAATCTGAAATAATGAAGCAACAAATCTTCAAAAATAATTTTTATTAAATAAAAATAAGTTTATTTACAAAAAAAATGTTTCGCATAGAAAACAGGAATTACTGTGACTTATGATTGCTTACAATAATATACAATAAGATTAAAATAATAGATTAAAAAGTGGGATATTATCGACAAATTGAACACAATTTGATAGAATCCAAACACTTATACAGAATATTAACATGACTTAGATATGGATGCAATCGTCACACAATTGATTGTATTTCTTATAAATAACTACCGGTTATTAATTAGTGATCAAAACCACTAATGAGTGGTAATGAGAGCCCAACTGAGAACAAAGTAGAACAAAGCGATGGGATATATAACGAGAGCCCTCTTCTCTTTCGACGTGTATTTGGCTATAATTCTGACGGAACAGAAGGTCGGCCACAAGAAGCCCATTATTATACCGATTAGTAATTTGTGGTAAAACAGATGTCTGATTGGGTTTCCCGTCAAAATGGAGATCACTTTTAAGATAATAATTCCAAGACTCGGAGGCGACAGACAGTAACCAAAGACACACAACAACTGGAATGTCGTCGGATTGAAAGAGTTGAGTGACTTTTCGGTGGCGTTTCGTTTGCGACAACTGTTTAGCAATTTATAGTTAAGACTAAGAATTAGATTTGATAACCAAATCAAGACAAAGAGGTGCGCGAAGTGCGGGCCAACCAATACAGTGCCACCGATTGTCTCTTCGTTGTGGTGAAGGGTTAGCGCGAGAAATGTGGTCACAATGAGTGGACCCCAAAGATCCCAATCTTTCAATACGTTTCGATAGCTTTCCGACAAAGAGATGGGAATTATAATGAATTTGAGTTTTGTGTAAATACTACGGATGTCTCGCATAAGAGTGGCCACAATCGGCTCATCCAACGTATCGCAGTCTAACAGCTCATCCATTGCGGACCCATTCTTCACGTTCACCACCGATGACGGCCTCTCATTCTTGATGTCACTGATATTGCCCTCCAATCCAGTGATGTCTGAATTGACGCCAATTGTGTTGTCCATCCAATTGAGGTGAAGACTGTTCTCACTGTTACTAAGATTTGGCTTTGAGTGGATCTCTGTTTCGGTGATATGTCTTGTGATGGTTGAAGACATGGACGGATCAAACAAATGATGACATCATATGTATAGACAGTCGACGGCACGCATGCGCTCAACACGTGTCACGTGTTCTCACTTTTTAGACATATTTTTAATTGCATTTAAATCTTGAAATAAATAACAATTGATTTGATTTGCAATCGAAACACAATTTGTGTCCAAAATGTCTATGAAATGCAAACCAGAGATTGATTTCAAACGTCTTCTCAATAAATGTCAACAAATGGTTGAAAACGATATGAAAGACAAGAATCACAACAATTGGAGACTCGAAAGGGTATGAAATGGTCTTAAGTATTACAATTTAAATGATTATTCATTCATTGATTGTCTCTTCAGTACATCCAAGCACTCAATCAAAGGCTTAAACAACTCAAAGAACTTAACGTTTGGTAACACTTTGAATGACATGTAATTAATTGTAATTAACAATGATTTGAATGTATTTGACAGTCAAGTGAATGAAACAAATTTAGCCAATTATAGCAAAAAAGTGCATTTTCTGAACCAATTGATTGAATCCCAACAATTGATGACATCTTCAGACCGATTGATGGCCACACAAATACTGTCTCCCATTTGTGTCAATCAATCAAATGCTCTCAAAAGTGATAAAACTAAAGAAATCCATCTAAACGTTAAAACAAGGGCTGAAAACGACATCAGAAGTGAACTCTTTTTTAGTGGCAAAGAGTCCAATGATTTGCGGAAAAGAGAGACAAAACAAGAGAGCAATTCAACCGATGATTTCGATACTGTCGTCAAATACCAGAACTCTATTCAGGAAAGAGTGGCCAAAGAAATGCTTGAATTGACACATAATCTCAAACATAACGTTAGTCTCAGTAATGAGATCATCAAAAAAGACACAGAGGTTTGACCACTGCTTCATTTTTATCACTATTTGATTGACTTTTAAATGATTACTGTTTTGATTGTTATAGAGTTTGGACAGAAGCGCTGGTTTAGCGCAAAAAAATACCGACAGTCTTAAGACGAATACCGATAAAATTGGTGACTTTGTCCGCCGCTCGTGTCAGTACTGGCTATGGATTATGTTATTCATTGTTTCGTTTACTTTCCTATGGATTGTTGTATTCATACGACT